CCTTTTGTTTACCATTGTCTCGATGACTTTGCATGGGCAGTCAGAAGGGTTTGCTATTCTTGAAGATTTTTTTATAAATCGGTATATCATGCGCATAGCGCCACGAGTTTGGAAACGAGTAGTTCGTCCAAGTTCCGATATACGATTCAAGCATCAAGTCATTCTTTGGGTCCTGTGAGGAGGAGTATTAATGATATAGTCAGTGGTATTTTCAACTTGGAGAGGATGTTCTCTATCTGGTATGTAGAGTTCTTGCATTGCATAGAGTTGTCTCTTCTTCAGCGTATCAAGGTTTACATTTAAGGCAGTAATATCCTGTTGCAAGTGTAAATCTGCCATTTTGACTGTCTCTCCTCCTGGTACCCGTAATAAAGCGGAGAGCTCTATTCTGGGCCCGTTGCAATTTTAGCATGTTGGTCTTTGTTGTTAACGACATTGGGACACATGGGTATTCGAGTATTGGTTTATCATCATTTTATACAGATATTTTTTAATATGTGAAGGGGCTTGATTAAATCTAAAGAGACTGCTAAGACCGGCTTTGGCTATGTTGATCTTTTTATTGACGTGAGATGTTGAGTGGAGCAGCCTGTCTATTTCATATCCCAAGATCTTGTTAGGATTTCTAATGGCTACAGATGTACCTCTGATGGAGATACTCCCTTTATCTTCGATGGTTGATGCAAAACATCCTATCGTGCTAACCAGGACTTTGTCAGGGTTAGTCGTAACTCTCCATTTCTTTTCCCAATTGGATGTTCGACAAAATTCAATATTCATTTTTTCTATGACTCTCATATTTGTATTTTCCTGCTACCGGAGTTGATGAGACGACATGGATAACATCATCTGCAAATTGCGTTATAATTGTATCATTAAACTCTGGTTGAGGAAGATCAATCTCATAAATATTGAATAGAATTGGACTAAGACAAGAACCTTCTGGGACACCAGCTGTCGGTATAAAAGGCTCTGTTGACTTGCCATGAAAGGTAGGAATGATTTTTCTTTGAGTTAAGAAGTTACATATAAATCTGAGAAAGGTCCAGTTATGGTCAGGTAGGTCAATAAGTTTGTATATAAGGCCATCATGCCATAAGCTATCAAAAGCTTTATGAACACCTCTGGTGGCAATTAGGGCAAGATTGCCCTGATGTTTTAGACTTGCTACAGTATCAAAAATAATATTTATTGCATGATGGGTACCTCTGTGTGTCCTAAAGCCAAACTGTTTTTCAGTAAAACGGTGATTAAACTCCATATAGTAGTTCAGTCTGTTGGAAGTGATCTTTTCAAGAACTTTCCCAGTGACTTCAAGTAAGGATGTAGGTCAACAGTTCCCTGGTTGATGGATGTCTTTATTGGTTTTAGCAAGAAAGATCATCCTAGCAGTCTTAAAAACCAGTGGGAAATGTCCTGAGGCCAAGATGGCATTAAAGATATTAACCAAAGACTGTTTACAATTTCTGGGTAGGAACTTTATTTGTTTCATTGTTATTCCAGAGAGACCAGGGGCTCTATTTCGCATTCTTCCAATAACTTGACTCATCTCAAGTAGTGTGATAGGTCTAGTAAGCGGGTGGGCGTCTTCAAGAGTTGAAGTATCGATGGAAGGTAGTGGTTGTAGATCATCTAAGTTCTCATCTCTCCATTCATTGACCAACTGATAGTGATTATTATTAAATCGACGACTCTTATTGTGGGAGAGAATTTTCTCCCATACATCACCCATCAAATTAGCCTGGTCCTGTGGCTCATCAAGTTTAATCTCAACCTCTTCATCATCATCATCAGTGAAGGTATGAATTAGGTAGGTAGGAGACTTGTGTTTTGCACCTAAAAGTTGCCGATTCTTACTCCAAAATTTTGCAAGCTCTCGTTTATACCGATTAGCTTTTGGAACTAGCAATTTCCATAAGTCACGTTTATGATGACTAATCATGTTAATTAATTCTTGTCTCAATCTATACAATGTAGCTACTGGTGGTTGCCGTGTTTGAAGATGCCTTCGACACTCTGATAATTTCTCATACCGTCTCTAATTTCCCTCGTAGGTTTATATTGTTGGTAGATCTTTGTGGAAGTTAATTGGTAAGTTGCATTAGTAGCATCAGTTATTCGATTGTGAAGGGACCATATCGCGTTGTCAATTGCAGTGGAAGGTATATTTTCCAATGACACAATTTCATCTTCACCCAGAAATGCCCTGAAGGGGTCAAATCCTAGGGTGATGAGATTGGGTTTAGGAGGTACAGGTATTCTAAATGGAGAAGTTTGTAGTTGTATTATCACAGGGATATGGTCAGATCCTACGTTTCCACCAGGAGAGATACGACAATGAAAAAGGTCACAGTCTCTGTTTGTCAGTACTATATCTGGTGTCCCTGGATGAGGACCAATGTACGATTTAAAGAATGGGCCTTGAAATGACAAGTTTCTAGCTGTCATGATATTAAATAGTTGTTTTCCTTTCAAGTCTCCCAGTGGATTACCAGCTCCACAGTTAAAGAGGACAGGGTGATGAGCATTAAAATCTCCCGCTAGAATTGTTGGAATATTTCAGCTTAATATGCTATGTAGAGGAATTGACTCTATATATTATTGTCTCGGGGGAAAATATCCAGTTCCTATCAATAGTTGGTCATGAGACGTCGTCAGTTCGATTGCAAGAATGTTATCTTCATCAACATGAATATTTCTAAATGCATAGCCTAATTTATCTAAGATGGCTACGCCACTATAGGGTCCTCTCGATTTCTCCACAGTAGAGTAACCACGTAATTTAATATATTGATCAACTCTCGCAGCTGTCTCATTCAAGAGTATAACATCGGGATTGTAATTATGTAGTTCAACTTCAAGGAGGTAATGGTTATTAAAGAAATGTTGAACATTAAGTTGGAAAATTGTAATCCCCATTATTTCTTGCACTTCGCACGTGTACTGCGGTCTGAACGCCTGCAAGTAATGTCATGTTTGGTATCCACACTATCCCTGCTGGACTCGTCAAGGGGAGGAGGGAAATTCTGAGTAGTTGCTTGTGTACTAAAAGTGTCACCATCCTCACTAGAGTTGGTAATATTAACAGAATCATTAGAGTCATTAGAGTCATCATCAGAAAACTGAGGTGTCATATTCCCAGTTTCAGGAAGCAGAGGCTCATGAGAGTTAATGGGAGACTGTGGAGGCTCCAAGGGAAAATTTGGTAGGCCAGGTGAATTACCCTGGGAAAGTTCCTGTTCAACAAGATCAGCTGCAATAGCGGAAGAGTAAGCACCAATCTCTGGGGCATGTAAGTAAAAACAGTAATGTACTGTGGAATGTCTTTTTGTGTCAGAGTCTCTGGGTGTAAGCTCGGCCTCAAGGTTGTGCTGCATCAAAGTATGCTGGAAGTTGGCCGAGATGCTATTGAATCTTGGCGTTGGTGTTGGGTATATACTTGGGCATTTACAACAGTGTTGTTAACGGTGAGTGAGGAGATGATGTTTCATGGTTATTCTGTGTACACTGAACCAGACCTGGTTGATAGGTGTGTTCTTAGAATGGAGAAGTAGCTTCGCCAGGAGTCACGTTTAGCTTGTCTGATTGTATGCCTTACCTGAAACACTCTAGGTTTATATTTGTATAAATGTTTAAAAAACCGAAAAGTTGAAAATGAGACACTTTTGCAACATTTGGGAATCTACAAATGCTTCGCCAGTCAGTGGCTTCGTCAGTTCAATACAGAGAAAAACTGTGAAAGATGAATAGGAGTTTGAGGAATTCATTCCTTCAGCTTGGAATCGATGGGGTCTGACCATAAATCTTGATAAAAATCAGTCTCTCTCTATCCATGTTATAAAAAATTGGAATAATATATAACTTGGGATTCCCCAACAATAAAAATATTCTCCCTTCACTTGAGGTATTTCTTGTCATACCTGTGTCCTCCTTGTTGGACAATCCACAACGGTAGGGTAATAGTAAAAAAAAGTCTCCATAGCTTTTTTTTTCCATCTTCATCTGAAATTTCAAAAGTTTCTTGATCATCCATTTTCCTTCTTCTTGTTTTCTTGTTGGCGAAGATGAATCTTCTTGTTCTTCCTTCTCATACGTTTCTCCTTCCTTGTTTTTCACAGCTCTTCCATGATGGTAAAGAGATGCTAAAAACTAATGTGCTGACAAGACACAGGTTGTATATGAATGGTTCAGAGAACCGACATGTTGTTAAATTAGACACATTTGCAACTCTTGGGTATCTTTATTGAGGAAACGTTTCGCCACACAGTGGCTTCATCAGTCCGTACAAAGGATAAATTGAAAGAACAGGAGGAGAATGAGGTAATCAGTCCCTCCACATTGGACAAATGTGACACCACCTACCACAGCTGCACCTCTCCTGCCTACGGTTTATAAGCTGCTTCTCCGCTCATGTGCCGTATTCTATTCAAGATCGATGGACTGGCCACATCGACTCAAGGTTGAGGGACTGATTACCTCATTCTGCTCCTGCTCTTTCAGTTTATCCTTTGTATGGACTGATGAAGCCACTGTGTGGCGAAACGTTTCCTCAATGAAGATACCCAAGAGTTGCACATGTGTCTAATTTAACAAGACACAGGTTAGGACAGAGTTGACACGTCACGTCCGAACTATCAAAACAGCGTAGATATACGACATTCAATTTAACTTAGTGTGAAAGCTTTCCCGGACAGATGATTAATTTTTCCTTTATTTCCTGAACATACAGTATACCAGTGGATTTAAGTTCATTACAGCAGAGAGAGGAATGTCCGATCCTTGCTCATCTCCGGGGTGTCAGAAGCAGGTCTATAATATGAAGCAAATCTGAAATATCATCAATGACCAAAGCTGCGTCTACTCAAAGCAGCAGCTGTAGAATTAAAAATATAATAGTAATGACGGCATTCTTTAATCTACTGGTTACAAAATAATTCCAAAACACCTATCCAAATACCTCGCTTGCAACCAGTAAAGATTTTATACCGAGCACAACTGACCTTAATAAGAAGGATGTCATTGGCTTTGGTGACTGAGTTGTAGGACTCATGAGGGATGAAGGTCATAGCCTGGGCAACCTGGCTGTTCTGGTCCTGCAGATTAGTGACTCCGGCAACGATAATAATCTTGTCAACCTGTATTCTGGTGTTCAGGCATCAACGCAGTGGAAGAAACAGAAGATGAGGAAAACAATGAAAGTAAACATGAAAAAAAAATGAGATAGGAAATTTACAGTTTCGTTATCAAATATGTCAAAAGGTTATTGAAAATAAAGAACAAATTTCATAAGTCGTCTTTTTCAATTTAATTCTTAGCATCGTATGAGGAACATTAATACATCATTTACATGAAAATTAGACACATATGCAACATCTGGGTATCTTTATTGTAGACGTTTCTCCATCCAGTGGCTTTATCAATACAAATTCAAAGACATAATTGGAAGACAGAAGAACTATAAAAGATGAGAAAATCAGTCTCTTAGCCTTGAAATTGGTGGATATATATATATATATATATATATATATATATATATATATATATATATATATATATATATATATATATATATATTTTATAATATATATATATATGCGCAATAAGATCACAGTAAACAGGTGATTTTAAAATATGCAAAACAACCACTGTGAAAGAATAGTGAAATTTCAAGCGCTTTCGTGACTACTCACATTGTCAAGGAACTATGAAAGTAATACATCAAAGGAAGGAAATTAAAGGGCTAAGACTACACCTCACAGTCAACTCCCACAACAAACACCTGACGAGAGACAATACCGGACTCATAAGAAAATAGGAACACTGCAGTAGGTCCGCTGGTCCAACTAGACAGGTCCTCACAACATCCCACCAACAAATCATTCAATTCAAGAAATAAGGTTTATTATTTGTTCAATGTATTATTAAACTCTACAATTTTATTAATTATAAATGAATCTAATTTATACAAACCTAAGGAAATATTCATATTATTTTCAAAACTGCTTTTTATGAAACAAGATTCAATTATATTTCTGTCAACCATGGACTTGCTTAATACAACTTTCTCAACTTTTTGAAAATCAATTGGATGGTTAAAATCTCTCACGTGAATAAATAGAGCATTGGAATCTTGTCCAGTTCTAATGCTATATTTATGTTGTTTTAATTTAAGTTCGAGACTTTTACCAGTTTGACAGTAATAAAGATTCCCATATGTTGCATAAGTGTCTCAATCTTCAACTTGTCGGTTTTTCAAATCATTCATCACAACTGTCAGACACTGCAGCATCATGGGATCTTGTTACAAAGAATTCTTCAACACTTGTCTAACCTTTGGACGAAGACCTACTTCGACTAGTGGATGGTACCACTATGACCCCACCTCCTCCTGCTTCACCTCACCTCACTACAGTATATAAGCCACGTCTACGGCCCTATGCTGTACATTCTACAAGACTGATGGACTGAACACATCGACTCCAGGCTTAGGGACTGATTACCTCAAACTCCTCCTCTCCTTACGCCTTTCTACTTTGTACTGGACTGATGAAGCCACTGTGTGGCGAAACGTTTCCTGAATAAAGATTCCCATATAAGAACATAAGAACGATGGAACACTGCAGAAGGCCTACTGGCCCATGCGAGGCAGGTCCAAGTCTCCTACCGGCTTAAGCCAATGCACCCAACCTAGTCAGGTCAGGTCACATTGACTTAAGGGAGGAACACGGCAACCGACCTGGTAGCACAAGCTATCAGGTCTAACTCACACCCACCCACATCTACTCATGTATTTATCCAACCTATTTTTAAAGCTACACAACGTTCTGGCCTCTATAACGGTACTTGGGAGTTTGTTCCACTCATCCACAACTCTATTACCAAACCAGTACTTTCCTATATCCTTCTGAATCTGATTTTTCCAACTTAAAACCATTGCTGCGAGTCCTGTCTAGGCTAGATATTTTCAGCACACTATTTACATCCCCTTTATTTATTCCCGTCTTCCATTTATACACCTCAATCATATCCCCCCTAATTCTACGTCTTTCTAGAGAGTGCAGTTTCAGGGCCCTTAGTCTATCCTCATAGGGAAGGTTTCTGATACATGGGATCAACTTTGTCATCCTCCTTTGTACATTTTCCAGAGAATTTATATCCATTCTGTAATACGGTGACCAAAACTGTGCAGCATAATCTAAATGAGGCCTAACCAAGGATGTATAGAGTTGAAGAACAACCTGAGGACTCCTATTATTTATGTTTCTTGTTATGAAGCCAAGATTCTATTAGCTTTATTGCGAACACTTATGCACTGTTGTCTTGGTTTCAGATTACTGCTAACCAGAACTCCTAAATCTTTTTCGCAATCCGTAATATTAAGATCTACATTATTTAGTTTATATGTGGCATGGTTATTGTCCTGTCCAACATTTAGAACTTTGCATTTATCTATATTAAACTGCATCTGCCACTTCTCCGACCACTGCATCAGTCTATTCAAATCTTCCTGGAGTGCTCGAATGTCCTCGTCAGAATGAATTCGACGGCCTATTTTGGTGTCATCGGCAAACTTGCCGATGTCGCTCTTTATGCCTCATCTATGTCGTTTTATGTAGATTGTGAACAGCAGGGGGCCCAACACTGACCCCTGTGGAACACCGCTCGTGACGCTTCCCCACTCTGATTTCTCCCCATTTATGCAAACTCTCTGCTGCCTATTTGTCAACCATGCCTCTATCCAGGAAAAAAATCTCTCCTCCTATTCCATGTGCTTTAATTTTCTCAATAGTCTCTGATGTGGGACCCTGTCAAAAGCCTTACTGAAGTCCATATACACAATATCATATTCATTACCATGATCTACCTCCTCAAATACCTTAGTGAAAAAAGTTAATAAATTCGTAAGGCAGGAAACGCCCTTTGTAAAACCATGCTGAGATTCGTTGATTAATTTATGCTTTTCAAGGTGGCTACGAACTGCCTCGGCAATTATTGATTCCATAAATTTTCCCACTATGGAGGTTAGGCTTATTGGTCTATAGTTCGAAGCTAAGGACCTGTCACCTGTTTTGAAAATAGGTATCACATTTGCCATTTTCCACTTATCTGGCACCATGCCATTTGTAGTGATATGTTGAAAAGATTAGCCAAAGGTGTGCTAAGCTCCTCTTTACATTCCTTTAGAACCCTTGCATACAGTTCATCAGGGCCTGGGGATTTGTTAGGTTTTAATTATCTATTTGCCTAAGGACCATGTCACTTGTGACCCTAATAGTGCACAGTTTATTATCGTCCTGTTCTATATAATTTATCATTACTGGAATATCGCTGGTATCCTCCTGTGTAAAAACTGAGAGGAAGTATGTGTTAAAAATTCTACACATTTCCTTATCACTGTCAGTGAGCTGACCCGAGGAACTTTTGAGTGGGCCTATCTTGTCCCTGATCTTACTTCTGTTACCTGAAAGAATCCTTTTGGGTTAGTCTTCGATTCTCTTGCAACTTTAACCTCATAATCTCTTTTTGCTTTTCTAATTCCCTTTTTTATTTCTCTCTTTAACTGAATATATCGATTTCTCAATTGCCCCTCTCCTCTTTTGATTTGCCTATATATGCCTCTCTTTTGACCAATCAGATATTTTAATCTATTGTTCATCCATTTAGGATCATTTTTTGTTTGATCTGATTTCCCTATTTGGAACATAATTTGACTGAGCAGCTAGAACTATGCCCTGGAAAGCATCATATCGGCAACCATCACCACCTACCTGACCCTTAGTCAGGTCATTCCAGTTCAGCCCACCTAAGTAATTTTTCAGTCCTATGAAATCAGCCAAGCGAAAGTCAGGGACGGAGACTTGATTGCCATTATTAGGGGAATTCCATGATATATTAAAACTGAGTGATTTGTGATCACTTTCCCCAAGCTCATCATTAACCTCATGATTATTAATTAGTGTTTCCCTACTGGCAAGAACCAAGTCAAGGAGGTTATTTCCCCTAGTTGGCTCTGTCACAAACTGTTTTAAAAAACAATCCTGGATCGTATCAAGAAAGTCACCTGACTCTAAATTTCCTGTCAAATTGCTCCAATCAATCTGTCTATAGTTGAAATCTCCATTAGCACAACATTTTCGTATGTAGATGCCTTACGAATTTCGTCCCATAGAAGTTTACTGCACTCCCTATCAAGATTTGGGGCCCTGTAAATCACACCCAAAATTAGTTTTTCTCGGCCCTCGAGAAGCTGTAACCAAACAGATTCAGTGGCTGACGCTTCTAATTTAATATCTTGTCTAACACAACAATTTTAAATTGTCTCTGATATACATCGCTACTCCACCACCTTTCCTGTTGACCCTGTCAGTGTGGAATAATTTATAGCCTTGTATGTGACATTCAGAGGGCATCTCTCTATCTTTCAGATTGAGCCAGGTCTCTGTTATAGCAATAATATCTATGTTTCCTGCACTTGCAATTAATCTTAGCTCATCTATCTTATTTCTTACACTCCTGCTATTAGTATAGTAAACCTTAAGGGAGCTAGTCCCTTGCTGCCCTCTGCTGTCCCCCTTTGTTTGCTGACCTGATCTATTGTCTTTATTGATAACTTCATGCTGAATGCCTTTTATACATTTACTGTTTCCAACCCAAGTGTAGCAACCTGCTTGTTTCCCACACACACCCATTTCCTCTATCTTCCATCAGTTTAAAATCATAGGCATTTCACCAATGGCCTTCTCAATCGAGTCTGCAAGTGCTACCACCCCAGCCCCAGAGAGATGTACCCCATCCCTTGCATACATATCATGTTTGCCATAAAAGTTGTTCCAGTTGTCAATGAATGGGATTGCAAGTTCCTTGCAGTATCTGTCTAGCCAGCAATTTACACCAATTGCCCTAGACAACCATTCATTTCCGACTCCCCTTCTAGGCAAGATGCTACATATGATTGGGATCCCTCCCTTAGACTTAATGAAATCTATAGCTGACCTGTACTTATCTAGCAGCTCTTCTCTCCTACCCTTCCCAATATCATTTCCACCAGCACTGAGACAGATAATGGGCTTGTTCCCATTACCTGACATGATATTATCCAGCCTGTTGACAATGTCCCCAACACCAGCTCCAGGGAAGCACAC